TAACGCCAATAGCCTTTCACGAATTTAAGTGAATCGGGTTTTAAATTTTTCTTTTTCTTCGATATATATATTTTTACGATGCTGATTTCGGATTATCCTATTTTTGATTAACAGAGACTTATAGATTTAGAAACGTATTACTTATTTTTAAGGTACCTTAGCGAGTCTACAGTACCTTCTAACTTTACAAGTGCGCAAATTAGAGCCCTAGAATATAAAACGTGCCATTATTTTGCCTGAGATAGGTTGTTATATAAGAAAAACTCTCGAAACCCTCTCAGACTATTACGAATATTAAAGCCGCTGGAAGTTAAATCTATCCTGTACACGATGCATTCGGATCCACTAGCAGGTCATTTCAATAAGGAAGCAACGTATCAATGTATTATTACTCGATATTTCTGGCCACAGATGGGAAACGATATTCGGGAATATGTTGTGTCATGTGACTCATGCCAGAAAAGAGGGAAGCCCACTACTAGAGAACCTCTTCACCCTATTCGTATAGACCAACCTTTCGATCGAATAGGCATAGATATAGTAGGTTTGCTGCCTGTAACTACAAAAGAATATCGATATATAGTAGTAGCGACCAAATATTTAACTCAATAGCCAGAAGCACATGCAATTGAACAAGGTGATGATGAATCAGTGGCCACTTTTCTTTTTGAGGATATTATTTGTTGTCACAAGAGTCCACGTGAATTACTCTCAGACTAAAGGACTCATTTCTGTAATAAAGTGGTGGATGTACTATGTAATAAGATGAATATTCGATGTTCAAAGATGACGGCTTATCATCCCCAAATGAATGGGCTGGTTAAACGATTTAATCGAACGTTGTGTGAAGTATTGGCAAAGTGCATTAATCAGTATAAGGGTGATTGGGATAATTATGTACCTGCTGCACTTTTCGCCTATCGAACGAATAGACATTCTGTTACCCGGTACGAGCCTTTCTTTCTCATGTATAGTCGGGATGTATTATTGCCTATAGAAACAGTTACTTCGATCTATCCAAACGAACCAATCACAGAGGAAGAATTGCAGGATTATTTGTTGAGACGTATAGGAAGTTTGGTGGGACAGTTAATTGAAGCGCGTTCTCAGGCTAAAGTAAATATTAAAAAGGCTCAAAACAAACAAAAAGCACGACATGATCAAAGCCATCGAATAGAAAGTTATTCGATTGGTGACAAAGTGTTATTAGAGCGATCTTCTTTGTTAACGTCCTATAGTGCGAAATTTGAACCCAAATTTACTGGACCGTATTACATTCATAATGTTTGTGGCAATGGAACATACAAACTACGAACAATAATAAATGATAAGCCTGGTAAAAGAGAAGAAGTTCTCAAGAAACCTATACACAGGAATCGATTAAAACGGTATATAGAGTCTTCTGTAAAAAGAAACTCTCAGACTTATAAATATGGCTCGAATTGACCTTTATCCTCTTGAAAAAAAAAAAAAAAAAAAAAAAAAAATGGAATCTTTCCAATTAACTGCGCCCATTTTAAAATTATTATTAAGTGTTCAAAATTGTATTAAGGAATCTTCTGTACATACTCTTCGTATTACGGCTACTACCATTGAATTTCTTGACAATCAAGAAAACCAAGTTCAAATAGAATATGCCCCTGAATTGGTTGAAGGAGATCGAATGCCCCTTTATATTGAAGATCTTCATAGATTAGGAGATCCCGTAAAAGAACTTGACCAAGTTGAAGGACAAAATTGGGACCAACAAATGGATTACCTGTGCATTCGAATCCAGCTTTGTTAGTTAGATCCGGTAACCTTACTCCAATATTATTATCAATTAGGAGAAAGAATGGCTGTGTATAATTGGAACTCTTATGTTAGAGAAGAGATGAAAGACCAATTTACCTCGGGAAAATATCGTAACGCATTAAGAACAGCTCGACGAGTATATACTCTTTATAATATTAGAGGAGTACATAACTTGCTGGTAACTCAACATCTATCCGCTAATATCCTACACGCAATGAATAAAGCAAATTTTAATACTTTGTGTGAAGAAGCTAAAAAGGGACTTGAAAAAGAGAATGAGCATTTAGTGAATCAAAATATAATGCTCGCAGGAGCTCGCGTTTAATCAGGGGGGTATGTCACGATTTCTTGGGTAAAATCGTGACTGGATAGTATACGGGTAGTAACGAGAATGTGTATAAGCCTTAAGTCACACAAATTGTAATGGGGCTAAGTAGATTTTAAGGCTTGGGTTACTAAGAAACATAATATTTATTCATTCGTCATTTTTATTTATTTTTATATCTGAAGATTCTTACTTGTTTATTAAGGCGTAATGACTAGAGTGGATCAAAGCTTAGAGAAAAGGGTGTAAGAAAGTAAGGCGGAGTAAAAATATATATATCGAAGAAAAAGAAAAATTTAAAACCCGATTCACTTAAATTCGTGAAAGGCTATTGGCGTTA